AGCGGTGACCCATGAGTGAGTTAATATTCAGGTTATTGATCCTTTAATGAGTTGATATTCAGGTTATTGATCCGCGTTAGTACTCAGGTATTGGCTCTTATCAAAGATCAGTTATATTAACTAGAGAGCCATGGAGTTTCAGTGGTGTTGACAGATCAGACTCCTGCTGTGATAAACTCTGTTATTTCTGTATTTAATCACCTGTGTGCAGGTGGAACAGCTGCAGCCTCTCTGGTCTTTACCTGTGTAGCCTTCACTTGTCTTCATGCAGCCCAGCGGCCCTCCTGCTGCCTCTAAACAACCTTTACCTGTTCTGTTCAGGAGATGGTGGCGTACCGCGGCGGCGCAACGTATGCCAGGAACCCCGGTTCTTCAGCTCAGGGCGGAGAGGAGGAGGAGGACGACGAGGGCGAGGACGAGGACGAGGACGAGGAGGACGACGAGTAGAGACGGCGAGCTGACAGACTGAGACTGAGAGAGGCAGGTAGGTGTGTGTGTTTCAGAGCAGCTGATTGGACAGCAGGCCGGAGGCGGGGCTTCACCACGTGACATCCTGGTTACAGAGGGTCAGCTTCACCTGGTGGAGTCAGTGCAGGGACAGAAGAAGAAAGCTGACAGGTGAGCACAGAGCAGCCAGCCAATCAGGAGCAGCTGTTCCTGTCTCCATGGCAACAGCAGGTTTCTATTAATAAACCTGGTTTCAATCAGGCAGGAATCGGTTATTATTCAGTCAAGTGTCACCTGTTGTGAGGACATTCAAACCTCACCTGTACTCAGGTGTATCATGCAGTGGCCCAGCAGAGCTCAGCCAGGTGCACCACTCACCTGAGTCCAGTCATGATGAACAGCCAGTCACAGACTTCAGATAGCCAGATAGCCGGCGTAGAGAAGTGAAACCTGCTGCAGTCTGAGCCTTCAGTCGTGTGTTGCTCCTCGGGGAGGATGGAGGAGATGGACTGTAGCACAGGTAGGACCATCACCTGGATCTTCTGACCCACTGGAGGATCCATGTTCACTCTGACTCACATTAATCTCGTAGTTTTGAGTGTATTTCATGAAGCTTTAGGACACCAAGCTAACCAAAGCTAACCAGTAGCTTTTCTTTAGTCAGACTGCAATTAGTTACAGTTGCTTCTGCAGTTACAGTTACTTTTACAGTAAGTGTTTGTGTTTCATGTTTGCTGACCTGAAACTTCCACTGCAGCTTAAGACCAGTTTAACAGTCCGCTCACCTGTAGCCGGGTCACATGACCCGCCTGTAACCAGGTCACATGACCCACCTGTTGCTGGGTCACATGACCCACCTGTAACCAGGTCACATGACCCGCCTGTAACCAGGTCACATGACCCACCTGTTGCTGGGTCACATGACCCACCTGTAACCAGGTCACATGACCCGCCTGTAA